ATTCCAACAGTCCCTCCTGCTGTCCTCTTGTAATAAACTTGCACCCATCCTAACCCCCGACAACAGCTGATCTCTCCTCTGTCCCTATCATTTGCCTTTTCCAAAATGTCTGATAAGTGCAGTCATACTGTATTACTCTTAGGACACTGACTATTTTCACTTAACATCAGATCTTCCAGTCTCATCCATGTGGTTGCATGTATCATGCTCATTCGTTCATGGGGTTCGGGGTGCTGGGCTCTATCTACATCTGTGCTAAAGAGTCACTCCTGGGGACTGGAGCCATAGCACAGTGGGTAGGACATTTGTCTTGCACGCGGCCAACCCAGGTTTGGTTCCCAGCATCCCATATGGTCCCCCGAGCACCGCCAGGAGTAATTCCTGAGTGCAGAGCCAGAAGTAACCCCTGTGTATTGCCGGGTGTGACCAAAAAAGCTAAAATTTAAAAAAAATTTAAAAAAAGAGTCACTCCTGGAGGTGCTGGGAGTACCACATGTGGTGTCAGGGATTGAACTGTGGTTGACTATGCAAGGCAAGTATCTTATCCAAAGTATCTTATCCACCGTACTCTCTGTCTCTCTGACCTTTTCATCCCTGTCTACGGCTAAGCTTTATTCCATTGTATGGGTGTATCATGGTGTGCTGATCCAATTACTGCTCTTTGGTGGACATTGAAATAGTGTTTAGCTTTGTTTTGTTTTTCAGTTATGGATAAAGCAGCTGTAAATATTTGCCTATATTTTGGGGTAAATATCATTTTGAAATTTCGTTAGGTAGATCTTGAGAAATGAGGTTGCTGTGTCATATGTAAAGAAAAAAAAGAATGTGGAGGGGGGTATGTGTGTGTATGTGTGTGTGTGTGTGTTTGTGTGTGTGTGTGTGTAACTTAACTAGAAACCGTTTACCAGAATGGCAGTATTTTGCATTCCCACCGACGGTGTGCAAAACTTTTTAAAAGCTTGAATGCTTTTTTAAGGCACTTGGATTGGGGTTGGCAACTTACGTTTCTCAGTGCTTTGGGGGTTTGAAGAGATGTTAATAAAGGGAGAGAACCCTTAGGTGCTCTATTAAAGCTTCGAAGCATGGGCAGTCCTCTGCAGCACTGTTTCTCAGCCTTTTTCCCATCATGGTCCCCTTCTGACCATGTGTCCTTACCCCTCAGGCTGCGGCACCCCCACTTAGGTAGTTTCTGCCTGTCACTCCTTTGAATATTTCTCCCGGGAATATGGCTCCCAGTGAGAAATGCTGATCCACTGGACTTCCTTGGGGTGATGCTGGGAGGTGATGAGTCTTGCTGAGCTACTCTTAGAAAGTGTTTTCCTATTCACTTCCTTTTCAGTCCTTCTCAGTAAGTTAGGGAGGTTCACGGGTTCCAATACACTTGTGACATTCTTCAACACTGGTCCTTTTCAACACAACGTCCTCTAAGAAGGAGGGTGCAAGCTCAGCCTCACAGCCAAAAGCGAAAAATAATCTCTGTCTAGAATCAGTTAAACATGGCTTTGTCTTTAAGAGATTACTTTTTATGTTTAACTTCTCATTACCATTGTTTTTTTTTCCATTTTTTTTTCCTCTCGGGAAATTAATTGATTCTGGATTTTGAAAGGAGGGTAAATTTAAAGAAAAATACTAAATATTTATTATATAGTTGTTTTAAAAATATGCCAAGAATTAGGAGACTATGCTAGAATGGCTACAGTTGGGAAAACTCGATTAGGAATCTTATTATTTCAAAAGAACTCCAAGTGAATCTTTTAATGAAGTGAACAGAGCTCATTGGTGAAGCACATAATTTTCTCAGTTTATCTTCTATTGAGTTTTTGTTTTTATAATACTTGTATGTCAAGTTTCTTTGTTAGTCAAGGTTATAATATTTGAGTAGTATTTTTGATATATGTTTATGAAATTCACTAAGTGAGCAGTGGATTAGGGGTAAACTGAATGGTACCATGCTTTTGTGGAACTTAATTTTTTAAATTCTTCCTAATTCCCATTTTAAAGGATACCCAGGATCCACACAACATAAACTCTGGATAAGGTGTAAATTAAGTGAATGGCAAAGAAAAGATAAGTGACATGTTAAAACTTTGTAGAGGCCCTCCCGTTGATCATCGATTTGCTCGAGCGGGCCCAGTAACGTCCCCATTGGAGACTTTGTTGTTACTGTGTCTGGCATATCAAATACTCTCGGTAGCTTGCTGGGCTCTCCGAGAGGGGCGGAGGAATCGAACTCGGGTCGGCCATGTTGGCTGCGTGCAAGGCAGACGCCCTACCCGCTGTGCTATCACTCCAGCCCCACTCGAGCAAATCGACGATCAATGGGGTTAAAACTTTATTTTACTTAATTTTATTTTTGGTGAGGTGTTGGGGTTGAACAGGGTTGGCTGCTTACAGAATTTATTTTAATAGTTAAAGGGAGAGATAATTTTATTTTCATCATTTCTTTCGAGCTATCTGTTTTTATCTTCTGTGCGAGACTTTGTGTGTGTGTGTATGTGTATTGGTAAAATAATATGTATCTATAGAAATAGTGAAAAAACACAGAGCTTTTTTTTGAGGTTCCCTGTAACTTTTGGTGCATGAAGTGAGATATCAAAGATTAGGAACTGTTTTATCAATTTATTGATGTTCAGCCTCTCAAATTAGACGTCTTTTAGATTAGAGGTCACAAATTGTCTGTCACTGGAGTTTTAACCACTAGATTTTTGTTTTGTCCATTTAGTATTTAAAACTTGTGAAAAATTCATTTTTGATACTGAAAAATGAAGTGTTTTCACGTAAGAGAAATACAGAGCTCTTATTTATTGTGAAAATTCAAAAATCTTAATCCCCAAACCTGCTTTGCCGAATGGTAGAATTCGCTAGAGCTAAACTGTGTTTGCCTTTGTAGACAGAGCATAGATTCTCTTCAAGTGTCTCAGTTTAACTCATTTATGTTACCTTCGTGGCCCTAGTGGGTAAGATATTTGAAATTGTGACTCCTGTGCTCACCAGATGACTTAGGTTTTTGCAGTAGAATTAATGAGAGAAGCTGATCATTCCTTCCTGAGCTGGAACTGAAAATATTGCATGCAAGCTGATAGAAAGTCCAGAATATCTGGCCCCGGGATCGTAGATGTAATAGTTAACCTCGGAAACGAGATTAGGGTCCTTTCCCTGACTTGTGTTAGGGAGTTTATCTTAGATTCTTTCCAGCGGTGATACCGCTTCCTGTCTTATCTGTTTATATCATAGGGGTTTTGATTGTAAGCAACAGAAACAGAGTCTGGTGAATTTGAACAAAGTGGGAGTTTATTGAAAGGATTATTGGAAAGCTCAGAAATATCAAAGAAGAGAATGATCTGGACTCAGAAGTTCAAGAAACCAGGAATGCTCTGAGGACTATGGGGAGGGGAAGAGCTCAGGACGTTGATAAATTGCCTCCAAATCTTTTCCCTTTCTTCATTTTTCGTCTTAAGCTTCCAAAGACGCTTGAAGAGAGGGACAAGGTTGCCTGACTCACATTCTTGACATAGTGGGGGAGTAGGACACTTTGAGAATCTCTCCAAGACACTGTACAACAAAAGGAAATGCAGCATTAGAGACCTGGGGACTAGGGGAAGGGGAAGTAGGTTTACCTAGAAGTCAACAAAAACAGTACCTAATCACTACAACTCTTCTGCTGGTAGATATAAAATGCACACCATGCAACGCTCTAAAGGAATAGCATCTCAGATTCCATGAGAACCACGTTCCGAGCATGTTCTTTAACTAAACAGATGTACTGGCATCAGTTAGACGAAGAATATATTGAGTAACCAGGACACAGCAAACGACAATTTCATATCATTTAGCAGTTGGCCTTGGTTAGAAACGCTCCCAAGATACCACACTAACTTTTGATGGGAAACATTTATAAATTCCAAAAGGTTTCTACTCCGGTTACATGAAGATAAATGCACGTGATGAAAAGTTCTGTGATTAAAACTGAGAAGGTATTTGCTAAACTCAAATTTCAAGTACCCAGAGAATACTTTTCCTTGTTCCCTGTATTGTTTTGATAGCGTTACATAAATTTTCATGTTTAAAATAACACGCGTACAACAAGAGCCTAGAAATGGTGAGTGGGAGATAAAATTGAAAGGCCTCTTTCAAAAACGGGGTTTGGGTAGAATGGTGCTTGTTAAAGAGAGCAGGGTGGGGTGTGCTCGGGTCTGAAGTGCTTCTAAAAGCAACATCTCCATTCTGCAATGGGAGGTAGAGGCTCAAGTGCCTCTCTACTCACCTGTGAGACTGATTTCTTTGAGGGACCATAGTCTCCTCTGGGGAGTAAGTGATTCCTCCCCTAATCCTAACTATGCTGTGTTTTGGAAGCCCTCTAATGCAATCGAAGTATGGAGTAGAATTTCAGTGAGAAAGAGATTCATTGAGATCTGATACTCATTTTGATTTTTTTTTTTTTGCTGGTTTTATTGTTTCTTTCTCTGCAAGATCTTGATTTGCAACAAGCAAGGAAAATGAGTGTAGGGGTGGGGGGGGGAGGGGCATGGCTGGAAATCGAAATTAATGATTCAAATAGGAGAGGCCGTGCAGAAAGCCTCAGCTGGGTGACAGGAAGCAGAGGGAGCGAAAGTCAGAGACTGCTCTTTTTAAGAAAGCCAAACAAACAACTCACAGTGAAGTGTACGTGAAAATCATTTCTAATAATAGTTCATGGTAGGCAATTCCCAGGGAAAAAAAAAAATCGTTGGTGTGCTGAGAAAATTAGAGTGAAAATGCACAGTATCTTGATGTGTTACTTAAGGCAATGGAGCTTTAGAGTTTACCTTATGTGCCATGTACATTGATTAAATACAAAATATATGTTGGCCATTTTTGACCATCATTTACTGTATTGATTTGTTAGCAGGGGAACTGTAATAAAAAAGCCATTGATTTACTGTCCTTATTTGCTTATGGGCTTTTTTTTTAATTATTAATTTTTCACTTTTTCTTTTTCCTTTTTGGATCATTTCTTCTAGACAAATGCCGTACTCCGTGAAGTTAGGAGCGAGGGGCTCCCCGTGGAACAAAGAAATGAAATCTTGACTGCCATCCTCGCCTTGCTTACTGCACGCCAGAACCTGAGGAGGGAATGGCATGCCAGGTTAGTCCTGTTCTGAACTGGGATCTGTTGTCCCTGGAAGACAAGAGCCGTAGTTGGCTACGCTTTTCCGTACAGCTGATCTCATCCCTCTTGTTTGAAGGGCCACGGAAAATAAGCTAGTTACTGATGCTTTCAGCCAAAGTTAGCTTTCCTGCACATGGTCCCTACACTAATTGTAATGAACCACGAAGTCCTCTGTCGGTCTCTAGGATTTATCCCTGATGCTAACAATTGCTATAAACATTTGCATCTTGTGCATCATGCAATCTTTAGTATCTGCTGCTGAAGAACCTTTTTTGGTCAACATTCTAAAAGACTGGCAGTGCTGTGTAATTAGGGGAAACGTCAGGAATATCCACAGGGTATTCCTGCATCACTCAATGGAAGGTGGATTGCTTGAAAATGGTCATTGATCCACCCAGCTTTCAGAAAGGACCAAGGTGGAATTTCTGCTTTCGCTCAGTTTCACTGTACGTGGGCTTACCTCTGTGGTTAGAAAACACTTACTTGGTATAAAACTTTTCCAGTTCATCTGTGTCTTACAAAATCGGTGCTCACATACTAAATATCACTGTATCCTGCTTTTATTTGAAAAATTATCAAAGGGTGAAAGGTTGGATGGGGCTGGTTTTCAGAAATGTGAGGGTTATCATTCAGATACATAGTTTGTAAAGATTATTGAATTATCATTGGACTCAGCAAAAGGGGGAAGGGACAGAGGATGGTACTCTATCTTATCCAAGTCTTATATGATGCCGAAAGTTCCGTGTGCTTAGAAGTCAAATACATTTATTGATAGCCATAATAGTCTTCGAATGAGTTCGTGCAACAGAATTTGCAGTAATTGATGGCTTTGCTACTAACAATTATCATAAAAATAGATTTGTCTGAACATGGCTCAAGTTGAGCATTTTCCAAGATTGGCAAGATTAAGGAGTATGAGTGCTCCATCCTCAGTGGGTATTGGGAAGCAGTTTTCTTCAAGTATGGATATGCTCTCTAAATTCAGACTTGTATTGCAATGATTTTTAAATTCCTGATGCTACTCTCCTGTCTCCTGCTCCCTTTGTGTAGTGTAGGCAGGATAAATGGCAGTTTCAACTACATTAGTTAAATGGTCTCTAGTTTAAGTTTCAGTAATAAATTTAAATTTTTTTCCTTCTTTTACACTTTAAACATGTACATTCATTTAAGTGCATGTTGTGTTAAACAATGAAATGTCAGCGTGAGGACTTCTAAGAGGTTGTTGTCTTTGTTTTGTTTGGGTTTGTTTTTTTCTTGTTTTCTCTCTATTGTATTTTATATCTTTTCTCCCTGGGGATTCTTAGTAACTAAGAAAGAGAGAGAAAAATTTCTGCGATCCCTTTCCTATCCCATCCCGCCCTTCCCAAACCAGCCCAACTCAGAGACCAAGTATGGAGAATGGTTTCTTCTGTTGAGAGCATCTGGTGTGTTAACAGTAATTTCCTGATACACCAAATCATCAGACAACACGGGCAAAATGGGCTGTTTAGAAGAGAGTCTGGCTTCAGCCTCTCTGGCCCTTGCTGCTAACCGTTTAATCAGGGGCTGGAGCCAGTGTTGAAGTTGATGTAGTCTAGCATCTGAAACAAGAATTCCCAAGTACTTTACGGTAGGGGCGGAGAAGGGAACGGGCGCTGCAGCTGACACTCTGCAGACCTCCTCCGAGTCCCAGGCCTGAGAGAGCGCAGGATGAAGAGGGTCCTCAGAGTATTAAATAACCATCACCGCCGCCTCTGCCCCCGCTTGATGTTTCCCATCTCGGTGACCGATCTAAAGGACTCGGGGGCCCCCATGATCCCGAGAAACAGACCACTGTTACTATACACCTTGCTCTCGCCGCAGCATCAAAGCTTGCGCTGGCGTCTGGAGTCAGGCTCGGCCGGCGTGAGGCGGGGAGAGGGGGTGAGAGTGGGAAGGAATCGCCCTCGCACGGCCCACTGGGTGCAGGGAGCTGCCCTGCTCTGGAATTACCAGAGTGGGGTGAGGGGGTGAGGGGGTGAGGGGAAGGTGCTTTGACAGAAACATCGTAAGTGCCCGCCAAAGGCCACGCAGTAGGATAGAGTGTTCTACTTTCATCAGAACTATCCGGGGATCAGTTAGATCAGATAATAGATTTTTTTTTTACCCCTGAAAGCTAAATACAGATGACTCTTATTACCTGATATTGCACGTTGGAGAATGTGTTAGGAATTGTGCAGCTCCCAGAAATTATTGAGGTGAATGGAGACTCCTCTGCGGCCGGCAGGAACTTTGGCGTTGGTCTGTCGTAACAGTTGGTCTGTTGTGACAAAGGTCTCCCCACTGCCCCGCGCTGGCAGGTTCATCCAGAGCATGAGACACGGGGAGAACATGTTCAGCAAAACTTGCCATTTGGCTTTAAGATTTTTTTTTTTTTAATCTCTCCCAGGCTAGGAGCTGAGCCATTGTTTGGGAGTTCCCGAGTCTCTTAAACTGAAAGCATATGTTCCCTGCAATTTAGCTTTTGGAGGAAAGTGTCAATTCTGCATGACTCAGGGTAACCGAGTTTGTCACAGTGTCACCCAACCCTGCGACTCCAGAGGCACATCTGAGTGCCGTGGGTTTCCTTCCCCAAGCTCGGTAATCCCATAAACAACCCTCTCCAAATAGGCTTATTAGGGCTGTCTATTCACTTCCCCAGAGCTGAATGATGCAAAGTACATTGGGAGAAGCTGGATGAATGCAGGGTAAGTGTTAACAGAAGTGGTACAGAATTTCTGAAGATGTGGCTTTGTTTATACAGTCCACTCCGCCTGATGGACAGCTTGTTATAGCTTTTAAAGAACTGGGCAAGCCCTCTGATCTGACCCCTTCTTGACCTCTACAGCCCAAAGGTCAGTCTGCAGCTAATAAACTCCGAGGTTCTTAGGATCTACTGTAGGAAGAGGCAGAAAAAAGAGCAGCTGCAAGGACTGGGTGTCCCCGCATAGGCTGCTTTGGGGTCACTCTCTGATAATGAAAATGATTACCAAATTATATGGAAGTTTAACCGCAATAGTGAGTGAGAGGAGGGTGGGGCTCAGTGTATTAGGTTTGATAAATGAACTGTGAAGAGGCCCATCTGCCTCTCAACATCTTTTCTCCCCCTCTTTCCCTACCAAGGGGAAACATTTTAAAATAACAGCAGTACATATAGACTCAATGACCCATGCAAGGAGCTGGAATGGATTAAGATTTAATGGTGACAGTGGAAGAAATTATCATTTGAAAAGTGCGCTAAAGAAAAGGTACAGTTCAATGCCCAGGCCCGAGTTGTTTTTCTAAATAAAATATTGTTAAAATCAGTGCCTTTATGTTCTTCGACTCTCCAGGGTATTTCCCAGATTGCTGATAATTTTGAGGGCGTATTTATTATAGGATAATTATTCGTAGGTCAGCTTAAGGAAAGGAGTGGTTTCCTTTGCTGCGACCATGTCAGAATGAGAATCAAATATTTTATTCCTGCCTGCTTGCTCAGTTTAGAGAATGTAGATGAATCAAGGATTAGAGAAAATGCTTTACAAAAATAAATAAATAAATAAAAGTGTCCATTTCGATCTCCAGCCACTGAACAATATGTATGATTTTTGCACACTTTTATTCTACTCCAACTTAGTTTTTGTAAAAAAAAAAAAGCAGAAGAAAGCACATAGTGTTAATTGAGTAGGTATATTTGTTTCTTTATTCATTTTTTTTCAAAGAAACATCATAGTGATGCTAATTAGCACCAACAATGGACAGATCACAAGCTATATGTTCACTTGCTGTCAATTCATAAGAGTAAATCTATTTAAAGCTCCCCCAGCTTCCTGTGTCCACGGAGGAGACTGGTTTCAAAGCCCGTCAGCTCTGACCTCTGCAGAGAGACTTGGCACATCCCAGGCCTGGACTTTGTGCAACGAGGAGGGTTTTGTTCAACACACATTTTGGTCTCTGTGTATTTGCATGCTTGCTGTGTACAAAGTGCTGCTTGAGAAGCTGTGCTTCAGAGAAGCTGCCCAGCGGCCGGTGTAGGAGAATTAATCTGGGGAGGAGCATTTAATGAGTGAGCATTTAGGCGGTGGAAGGGAAGTGGTGGAGCCACCGCTGCTCAAGAGAATGGCGGGTCGCTCACGTCCAACAAAGCGCTTCATTGTAGGGGACTTTGGGAAGGCTAGGGTTGCTGTAATATTGACAACCCCTGAGGTTGAACTGTATTGCCTCCATTATAGACACCTTCTCCAGACGAGGGTGATATTTTATTTTGCTTTTAGGGTCACGCCTGGTGATGCCCAGGGGTTACTCCTGGCAATGCTCAGGGGACCATATGGGATGCTGGGAATTGAACCTGGGTTAGCCACGTGCAAGGTGAACAGCCCATCTGCTGTGCTATCACTCCAGCCTCACGAGAGCAATATGTTAAAGAGAAATGAGAAGTTTCTCACCACTGCCCCGTGATGGCGTTGCTTTACATCATGGGGTTCGCCTCGACTCTGTGTGTTCCTGAGGATTGGCTGTGAGCAGATTGCTGGCTGCGAAGGAAAGTGTGGGGAGCCGCACAGCACTCAGAGCATTAACCGTGCTTCTTTTCTCTTGACTTGAAAGCTGTATCTTTACTTTTTGGCAAAGTAAGGTACATATACAAAAATTAAGATGAAAACTGGGCCTTTGGGATCTTAAAAATGAAGGTGTAATTCATATAGCATAAATTTTATCTTATAAAAGTGTACCATTAAGTGATGGGGTGGAGAGGTGCGGTATTCACAAAATTGTGTGGCCATCACCGTTATCTCCAGAGGATTTTCCTTACCCCAAAATGAAATGCTGAACCTGTTAATAGCCTTGCTTAATTCCCTTTCTGTTCAACTACTAATCTACCTTCTGTCTAGAGATTTGTCTGTTTGGAGCGGTTTCCTGTAATCAGGAGCATTTCATTCATGGCCTTTAGTACCTGAATTTCTTTTCATTTAGCAAAATGTTTCCAAGTTTCACTAATGCTA